CCCCAAAACCCCAAAACCCCAAAACCCCAAAACCCCAATAGAGAATAAGTTTATTGAAAATGTTTAGAAATTTGAAACCCAGACTCCGTCTTCGCTGCTGCCTTGGCTACCTACAGAGACGCTGTTGGGATTACCGATCCATTCTTGTTGCTGCTTCTTCTTCTTAATCATCTTTTTAGCTGGAGCAATTGGTATTGGATTGTCCTTTCTTTTGGGTTTAGTGTTATTATATAACCTTTGAGTGATCCTGTCAAGTCTTCTTGTATTTAGATTTACCAGTTGCGGATTTTCATGCATAGAATCATTGATTGAACTATTATTGAATTGTGGCTTATCTCTTGTGACACCCCATCCGTGAGTCATTACAGTTGAATGATTAAGCTCACTGTCACTATCAATTGCATGTTGCTTCTTCTTGACTGGCTTCTTCCTATTCTTCATTCTGCTCACTTTTCTGAGAGCGATATTATCCTCTTGAGAATTGAAATTAGGCTCTTCTTTTATGTCTCCTATAGATTCAACTCCATTGACTTACCTGGAGATTGATAGAGGTAATTATCATCTCTCAAGTTCTTATTCTCAGATATTTTTTGAGTCTTTTTCTTCTTGAGCTTCTTTGCAGTGGTGCTCATTTTCATTCTGGGCATGCTGTTGGAAGTCCTTGAGATATTCCTATCAGAAGAGGCATTACTTCCCTTCCTTTTTCTCTTCTCCCCTTGAGGTTGGGAGCTGTGAACTATGTTTATCATGTAGCTTTCTGGAGATTGCTTCTTGGAAGAGAGGGGTTTAGAAATGCTCCTTTTCCTACTAGATTTGTGATGCTTCTTAGCCGAGCTGTTTAGAATGAACTCTCTATTCTTTCCATATTCTTTGATAAGATATGCAAGAAATTTAGCTTTGACTTTCTCGTTGACTGCTTCAGTATGAAATTTTGAAGCTTTATTTAAAAAGCTCATCGTCGATAATTGACTTGAAGTCTTCCTTGCGGTGTTTCATCATCTTGGTCATTAATACCATGTACTTCTCAGCTTTTACGAGGAGTTTCTTTCTCTCTTTCTTGGAATAAGGGACAATCTTGAGTTTTCTCCTTTCTTGGATTATTTTGTCCACTCTTTCAACAAGATCATTGAAATTTTTGTGGTACTCTATCTCATTAAGAGAGGAATTGAGGCTTGATTCATTTATTTTTGAAGATTTTACACTTAGATATTGGGATCCCTTTGTCTCTTTAGGCATGTTCCTGTTCTTGCCTGAATCAGAATAAGCCCTATGCTTAGTGCTATCTGTGTCGAACTGGCCTAAACTCCCTCTCTTCCCAGACGGGGGTTTCTCGATTGCTGTGTACTCATGATGAAGAGTAGGCTTAAGGTTATTGCCATCTTTCTTTTGCCTATCATTTTCAAGAAGCTTTAGTATCTGAGAGCTCTTACTTTCTCTTCGTTCAGTTTTTGGTTCTGGAATTGAGCTGTGGAGACCATCTTCCTCTAAGATTTGTAAATCTTTGATATTTCTATGTTTCGCCTCAAAATCCTGGAATTGAGCTGATAGTTTTTGATTTTGGGTGAAATTATATTGACTTCCGACAGGTCTTGAAGCTTGGCCAATTTTAACTTCCTCTCCTTGGTATTCAACTTCTTCTCTGATCACGTAAGTGTTGTTGTTGAATGCTGAGGCTCCTGTCTTATTTAATAGTATCAGAAGGGTTTTTAGTCAGTGTGATATGTCTGTCAATACTATCTTTAGATGATTCAGGATTAACCGCTGATTTTCTCTTTTGATTCGTCTTATTTAGAATCGAGATTTCATTTTCTGTTGGAATATAGCTGTTATAGGTATCTTCATTTCTATCCTCTTCATCTGACTCAGAAGTCTGAGAGTAGTCAATCTCTGATTTTATTCATAATTTCTCTTGATTTAGCTGAAGAGTGTATAGGAGAGGAGTTACTGGGACTTTGTTGGCAATACAACCAACTATCAGGTCTTCATTAAGATCTTTAGTCTCTACTTTATTCCAGTAATTGTACATATAGCTTTTAGATAATCTCTTCCTGACTTGCTTTTCATCGCTTATTTTTAGAAGGGTTCTAGAGAGTGGTCCAATATCTTGGAATACATTTACACTTGGAAATGTATCTGCTAAGTTTCCTATATTTTGCTTCTCATATAGCTCATCATCAGAGTCAGATTCTTCAAAAGCGACTTTATTGTATTGCCCCAAGTCCTGAAATAAAGCGTCTAGAAATAGTTCTTCAGGCTTATCGTTTCTCCTGAGATCTGCTGTACTATCTACATTGGAGAGATTATTGTTCATTTTAATGATATTAGTCATTTTGAGGTCAATGAGAGGGACTTCTTTCTATTAAAATTAAGTCTTACCCTACCTGATTTTCAGCTTGTCTCTTTTTATCTAATAACATCTGTTGTCTTTTCTTCCAGCTGAACTTTTCATCTTCTTTGGTCTCTTCAATTCTGCTTGGAACTACAGTCTTCTGATCTCGTTTGGTATCCCTCTTTTCTCTTTTCCTCAGGGAATTGCCACTCTTTTTATAAGTTTCTTCGGTAAATTTGAGGATGAATTCTTTGTACTTTGCTTTATCAAAAGTTCCGTTGTTATTTACTGAATTCTTCGCTTTCTATTATGTTAACTAGGGTATATACCAGTGTATTCGTTGTCGATATCTCCTATGAGCTCTTGTCTTGCGTTTTCAAAGGACCTGTCGATGTCCTTCTCTTCATCTTCAAAGTAAAGTTCTTCCGTTTGCTTGCCTTGGTACTTGTCTTGTTCTAGTTCAGTTCTTTTGTTGAGTTCTCTCCCGAAGACCTGAAGCATTGAGTAGATCTCTTCTTTTCCCATTTCTTCATCACTTGAGCTTTGTCTTGAGTGGTTTCTGAGTTTTTGAATTGAGGTTATTCCGCCGATGTTTCTGTCAGAGAATGTCGCCATTATTTTATTTTATAACTACAATTTCTGAGCTATTTTTGGGGTTTTGGGGTTTTGGGGTTTTGGGGTTTTGGGG